ACACACACACACACGGTGAAAGCATACTGGGTTATCTGGCCTCAGTCTCTTGGAAGGTGGTCCTCCATCTTCGGGGTGAAGCATGTAGAACAGACGTACCTTGTTGGCATGTTTCTTACTCTGAGAGAAAGAGACAGAAAGAGAGTAAGAGTGTCAGCCAGTGAACTGAGTTTTATTTTATCAAGTGAGCCAAGTGGAAAAAAATCAATGACTGTCACTCCACCTAGCCAACTCCCTCCGAGCTCTTATCTCTGTTTCAGCTGATGGTGCAAGCAGACATTTTGCCCCCGGCTAGGTGACTAATGGCCCGGGCCAGCCTCAGCTTTCTGGGAGCCCTGAGTAAGATGTTGGGAAAGGGAAGTGGTGGGGGTTAAGGACTCTTTTCTACCTGTAGACACTGGCACTGTAAAGTAAAGTGAAGGGATTACAGATTACAGTAATATTGATATTCTGGTTCAGGAGTATTTTAGTGTAATCAGTGATTAATAAAATTATAGACTATATGTAAATATATTAGTAAAAAAGCAGTATAGCTTAGTAATAGTTTAGAAATAGTCTTCAAAATATTTAGAGCTTTTGGGGGAACGATGGTTCAAGTACGTAAGTGTACTGTTGATGGTTTTTATGCGGCTTATTCATTTGTTATTGTGGTATTGTTGTCGCCCCACCTGAGTAAGCTATAATAAGCAGAAATATACAGTAGTGTTTTATAGGAAAGGACAGTGAGCTGTCCTTGAAGCTGCTAACTGTCACTTTAATGCAGAACAATGAAAATCACTGGACATACTGCAGGGTAAAGATTAGCGCATGTGTATGTGTTCAAACAGCTCCGTGTGTTTGTGTACAAGGTTGACACAGCTATCTTTGCGCCATACGTAGCATTTTATTGGCATGCTCTGACCTTCACTCCTTTCTACTAAATAACATCTATTATTATCTATAAATTCCACTGCTGGTGCAGTTTTCCAGACCCGAGTGTTGACAGTCTGTGTCTTTACTGCCACATATGCAGTCAAATACACATTATTACCTGACAAGAATGCAGGGATAAAAGTCAAGATTGTGATTATGAAAAGCATTGAGGAAGAAAAATGCTAAACTTAGGGTTGATGACAGATGGAGGTGATTAAATTAGACTATTAGTCAAATATGTTCAGATGTCTTTATCCGTAACTGGAATTCCCTGGGAGGGAATCACATTACTGTTTAATCCATATAATATGTGGAATTAAGTTTAGTAGTACTTGTAGTTGTAGCTAGCTTAGGTCTGTATCATGGCTGCTCAACAGCACACAGAGACTGCTCCAGTGCTTAGGTTGGATCCTGCCCCCGGGNNCGGGGCCCCCCCCCCCCCCGTCTACCTCACATGCCTCCTAACTTGTCGGACTACTTTAATGCATTTTGTCAGTGCTTGTGTGCGTGTGTATGCCTGAGTGTATGCTTGTGTTTATAGGTGTATAAATGGTCATGCAGTAGATGGCTCTGGGATATGGGCTAAAAGCAGGACCTTGTGTCACCATGGTTACCCTGCACTGACCCTCAGTACTCATCCTACCCTAATGGACTATGCATGTCTCTCCGTCTCTTCTTTCTCTGTCTATCCCTGTTTCAAATCAAGTTGGAGGAGACAGACAGGGCAGAGGACAACTATAAAAATAATCTGCCCCATCATTCCTGTGTGTTTGTGTCACTCACATGATCAGATTCACGTTCTTGACACGAAACCTCACTAGTACTTTGTTACAATATCAGACAGTGTTGGTGTGTACTGACTTTATATGAAACTCTGGTGCAAATTAAGTTTTGTTGTGGTGTTTATCTGATTCCTCAACAGTTTGAAGATGCAAAAACTTTTGTTTGTAGTCCATCTATGTCAGTCAATGTGTATGTGTTAGCTAGCAAGCAGTTATTGCTAACTATTATTTGTTGTAACTAAACTTAAGGCTGGGTACCAAGCTTACTTTTATGGTACGGACCGAAATGCCTTGTCATTCGATGCAGGACTTTTACACCGTATGTTTATCGCGAGCTGCTTATCTACACAGGTAATGATCAAGTGATGCCTGTTAGCTAGTCTGTGCAGCTAACCTGTATCTGGAGCTGAGGCGGCCTCTTACTTTCTCTAAGAGGTTACCCAATCACACACGTCTTTTCCTTCTTGTTCTTTGGATTAGACAGACTAGACTACAATGGCAGATGTTCCATCATTTTCTTTATTTCCCCGAGTGAGTAACTGTACTGTTATATAATTTTTTTGTAAAAATTATTTTTATACCAATATTGGTATTGAAAAAAGTATTGTTCATTAACTGGTATTGAGGTTCAGGTATTGGTATAGAAAAAATAGAAACTATATCCAGCCCATATATGTGTAAAAAAAAAGTGTAAATGATAGTGTATTAAATCAACTGGCCTGTTTTCGTAACCCTGAACTCTTCAATAATTGACCCCTATAATAATAATACTCCTTTCTTTAGCCTGTTGTTGTCTCTGTGTCTTATGTAAACCACTTTCAGTTAACCCGTCTATGAAATGTGCTACACAGGTAAAGGTTATGTTTACATCCTTATTTAAATCTACCACGTGAAACCCTGCGTTTAAATTATTTCTTGTTTCGTCTCCTTAATCTACTGACCTCAACATAGACCTTTTGTAAAGGGTCACACTGAGGACACACAGTGAATCAACTTGCCCATCTGCCTGCACAACCTAAAGCTGTGTGTTTCTGTTAGTTGTAAGTTGAGAGACAGAAATAGAATTACTGCCAAGTGATTGTGGTTGGTACACATGTGTGCAGACACATACACACTGTCGCTGTCCTTACTTAATTATCTCCAAATAAGGGCCTTGTCCTCATTAGTCTGCTTGTTAATCCCAATTGTTTCTTGTTGTTGTTGTGTTATCAAGACGACCTCAATGCAGTACATGAATGCAAGCACACAAGCATATCAGCCCGTGCACACACACATCAGCCTGTGCACACACACACACACACGCACATGCTAGTTGAATAATGCACAGGGCTGATTATTTAATGGCCATTGATTAAATTACTCTTACGGAGACTGCTGAGAGGTAGACAACATTAAAATAAAAAGTGTGTGTGTGTGTGTGTGTGTGTGTGTGTGTGTGTGTGCAAGTGAGTAGCATTACCATGGTGCATTAAGTCTATGTATAATGGATGAGCACTGTTTTGAACGGCACAAGCCCAAATTGGTACAAATAAGGCTGATGCAAAGTGTATAGTGCAAGAATCCGCCTGTCAAAGCAGTGATCGCAGCATCGTAACAGTTTTTTTTGGTCTTTGGTTTGTGCGAACATTCCTTTATGAGCAGAGACGGACTCACCTCATAGTGAGCGGTGCGCTGGGACTCGGAGATGAGCTGGGCATTGCAGATGTTACAATAGCTCTCTGTGAACAAGCCTCCATCCACGACGCCCGCAGACTTCATCTTCATCTGAGACTACACAAACACACACCCCCCCCCAAAAAAAAGAACATACGCAAACATGAATATGATTAAAAAGCAGAACAGGATAAAATGTCAGTGAACCTTACAGTGTGTGTTAGAGGTGCATGAACATGCATGTATCTCATCTCAATTTAGAAATAGTTTTCCTTCACAATGACAGATTCCTCATGACAGTTCAGCCCAAAATATGTTGATCCCCTCCGTCAGAACATCCTCTCATGGATGATTTTGGTTCCAGTCTTGGAAACAATAGCCTGAGGCTCTGGCATGAGTTTCTGCATTTTACTTTGGAATAAAGTCTTAAATATATTTATTTTTAATTTTTGGAATCATTTATAAACACTGAACATGCAGATTGCCAAGGTGGTCCTAATCTTAAATACATAATGCACAGTTGGGAGTTTAATTAAATCCAACAAACCAATAAATGTAGGAGATAAAAAATACAATCTATTACCCTGTGAATTGAACACGACCAAATATTGTCCGCTACCTTTATCAGTTGCTTCCCTGCCATTATAAGTTGGAAATGGGGAGAATCGGTATTAGGAGTTTTCTTCTCTCTTTATTACCTTTCATTGTATGGTGAAATCATGGTGTTGGCATATAAGTGAATAGAACAGAGTGGACTCAGAACTAAGTTTTGTTTGTCCTTTTTTGTGATTTGACATTTTCATCTCTTCTACTACAGACTGTGTGTACACAGTCTTCATTTTGTAAGCTCTACTCTGTGGCTCCACTCATAACTAACTCGTAACAGTGTTTGTGTGCTGCACTCTTCTGAGTACCAATCAGAATGCATGTCTTGCCAAGCTAAATTTGAAGGTTTGAATATTGACATTTAATTCTGTAAGCTAATATGCCAGAGACCCACCTTTTATAACTCTTTACATAAACTTTCAAGAATGTCTGAACACTGACAGAAAGTGAACAGTATAGCCAAGAGAAACTTTGGTGAGGATTACAGTCTTCTGAAGTAAACTGTAAAGGTCTCCAGCAAGATTCCCTGGTGAGAAACAGTGTCTTAAAACTTGCAGTGCTGGGATTGCCAAACCAGTAAAACCATGGAGACCCGAGCATCCCACTGGGAGCCGTGGCTCTGTGTTCATAACAACCTGGCAGCAGCGTTTTAGTTCGGTTTTATACTGAGTACTGTAATAGAAAATGGTTTAATGATGTGCTCTGGGGTCCGATGCTCAACTTTCTATTCTCTTTATTATGTGTGCCCTGTAGGCACTGCTCTGACAGGGCTAGGGTGAGTAACGGGTCTGCAGGGAATGGTCCAGGAACATCAACCATTAAACTGGATGAGCTTCTTGCCCCAAGGAAGCGACAGGACAGGGTGCTTGTAGGGGCAAACTGTTTCATAGTGCAAGACACATGGATGCTGCGGAGGTTAGCTTCAGTAATTTTGAAAGAATAGGCATTTTTTTTCTTGCATGGTATCCCGAGAACGCCACATTAATGATTAGATCAGACAAAAGCTACTCAGCGGGGAAAAATAGTGACAGCCCTTATTCTTTATTTCAAGTCTAGTGTGTAATTACCTTTAGCCAATGCTTGCTCGACACTTCCATGCACACGCTCACACACATGTGGTTGCACACACACTATGGCTAATTACCCCTGTCTGTTCTCCTTGTCTGTTTAGTGCACCTTGGACCTTTACATTAACTACAGACATGCTATACAGACACTTCGTTGACTATCTAGGCCTAATTGAATTTACAGTACGACCCCCATATATTAAAATTAAATAGCATTGCAGACACATTTAATGTAAAATGCATTGCATTTGTGCCTGTGGGATATAATATTCATTCTGAAATGTGAAGATGACAAGTTGGAAACTTGTTTTGTCTAGAGGCATGGACGCATTATTACCTTCACAATGTGAAATGTCCTATGAGACACAATGGAACAGATATATTTTGCAAACTGACACATTAGATTTGCTGCAACATTTGTGTCCTCCAAGACTTTTGTGGCAAGAAAAAGACCTTGTGCTGTCTGTCTGGACGTCAGCCAGGCAGAAGCGAGTCTATCTTTTAATCTTGTGGCTAATTAAAAGTGATTGTGACTGCAGAAATATCCTTATCGTCCTAATATCTCTATTACCTCTGATTATTACATGCAAGATGGGAGATGTAGGCTAATTAATAGAGGCAATCTGTTGGTGAGATTAAAGGAATGGCAGGCCCATCGAAGCGAAAAGATGGAGAAACAGATAGTGGGGGAAAATAATGAAAGAGGGAAGGAGAAAGGAAAAAAGAGAGGGTGGGGAGGGAGGGGGAGGTTTATAATTGGTGCACTGAATGCAATATTCATTCATGTTACGTAGGCTTAGAAATCCTAATGGAAAACTTTAATTCCCACCGTATCAGACCAGAGTAATGAACTCTTACTGTATGTTACGTTTCATCAGAATCTAATCTATGGCAATTTAAGCATCAATTTCGAAACCAGCATGAACCACAAATAGGCATGTGTTATATTTAGTATCAACTTCATTTCATCTTTCGATTCCTTCTTTATAGTTCAGCATTCTAGAGTTACAGTGTATTTTTATCTTATTTTTCTCTCAGATGCACACAGAGGTCATTGGAAACTATAATCAATGATGACGAAGGTGTGTAACAGTTTGTTTATTTTGTTTGATAATATGTGCGAGTGGAGGCTGATGTCAAATCAGTCAGAAATTTAAAGGCCCTGATATTCACAATCAGCTTACTATGATTGATGGGTTCTATGTGAACAAAATGTTCTGCCAAAGTTTGAACAGTTCACTTTGTTTTGAAAGGTGCTATGTAAATAAATAGTTATTATTAGACCATGTGCACAACTTCATGCATTGTCGGACCAGAAATCATAGGATCATAGATGGATGATGATTTAAACCTGTATTTGTTTAACTCTGTAACTCAGTATGATGATTGGTGAACGGTGGAAGCCACAGTGAATTATTCAAACAGAAGAAATCTATTTTATCTTTTTTTGCACAAGAGAAAATTTAGTAATGGTTTCTACTTGTGATTTAACTAATGGTTGTATGGTTATATGGTAACATGTCATTTTCTCCCCCAACCCATTCCCTCCAAAATGTATTATTATGAAAAAAGGCTTTGACATTTGCCATTGTTAGACCATTTAACTTATCTAAGGGGCAGCAGCAGTTCAATCCATTAGGACTTGGCTTGGGAAGTGTGGGCTGGTAGCTGGAGAGTTTACCTCCTGTGCATGGCTAAGGTCCTCCTGAACAAGGCACCGAACCTGCAACGGCTCGGGGCGACTGGCTATGTGGCAGTCATTATAACTCTGTATAACATTCGGTCAACTAATTCTATAAAGTGAAACACTTGTGTTTACCCTACTATTTCATCTCAAAATGGCTGTTGTGAAAAAGGTCTATTGTGAAGCCAATCCAGCCAATACAGGTGCAACTTTAGTGCTCTTCCTGAACTAGTGTTATGCTTCACTTTTAGTTATTTCACATGAGAGACTTTTCTCTTTGCTGTTATGTCTCAGAGATTTGTGGTGGGTCAGTTGGAAAAAGGTAATTTTTCATACTTCCATGGACCAATCAGGATTTTGAAATATTTGAGTCATAGATGACAGTTGGTGGGTTGTCTGCTTATGTTGCCAGGCCGTTGTCAATCAAATTAAACTACACCCACACAGTCCTGATGAAGCAGATCAGCATAGTTTTTAAATACCAGTGTTAATAAATGCCAGTTTAACAAATAATCATTTAGTTGATGTTTTTTTTCCTGAACCTTAACTTTGATCATTACTTATGTAGTTATGAGTATTCAATGTTATAGAGAAATACTTTTTTGAAGAATTAGTGGAGTCAACGAAAATCTAAAGAGAAGTGAACATAAAATAGACAAAATGTCTAACAATTAAAGTGAGGAGAGAGAGAGAGAGAGAGAGAGAGAGAGAGAGAGATTATAGAAAAACTATAGCTCAAATTAAAAATGAAAAAAGTCTTAAACTCAATTAGATATAGTATTGCAGAAACTAGATAAGTCTTAGCTAAAGCATGAAAGCCTGAGGCATCTGAAGACAGAATGAACCTTAAGGGGATTCCCTTTTAAGACCACATCAAGTATTTAACATGAATGTGAACTTTCAGCCCTCCCTCAAATCTCAGCCTCTAGCCCACCATTCATTAAAAAGTTGGCATTGAATTGGACATGGCTTTTTGTTCTTTTTTTAATAAATGCAACCACTTAGACTGTTTTCTGTGGACTAGGCTTAGAATATTAATTAGTTTGTACCAGTACTTACAACTAGATAGCATTGTGCTAAATGAGAGCCTTATTGTACTGACAGGAGATACAGTGTAATGTGCTTCCACAGTGAGGAGCCTCGGAGATAGTACTATTACAAATACATTCTCGGTTCTCTTATGGCCTGAAAACACACCTGAAAACACACCTTTATTGGTAAGATGTATACTGAAGATGAACTAGTGGAAGACAGGAAAATGTGCCACACTCGAGAGAGAGAGAGAGAGAGAGAGAGAGAGAGAGGGTAAAGAGAGAAAGAACAGCAGGTGGTTGGGGCAGCAGGGCTTCTTTTAAGTTCCTACCTTCCTTTCCTCCCTCTGCAACCCATTTCCTCTCCATGAAAAGGGTGACCGCTGTGAACTGGACTGTCTGTTCCCCTTTTCCTCTTTCTGCGCTTACATTTTATATAGTTCCTCTCTCATTTGAAATAAATTGCTGCTCTGATTTAACTGTCAAATTATGCATACAGATGATGAAATATTGACATCAGCCTGTGAGCCAATGACCTGTCTAATGAGTCCCTAGTGGGAATAACAAGAGAAAGGGGTTGCAGGGTTAATAATATGGAACTCTATATTGCAAAGGCACTCTGCCGTGTCACTTTGATGTTCCACATTACATTTCTTTTCCTGTTTCACTCTTGGTAATGTAATCTTTCCGAACACGCCCCCCCCAAAAAAAAAACTTGCTCCAAGATTA